AAACTTAAGATTTTGCGGACAAATCCCACTCCAAACAGCGTATAAACCATACACTCATTACATTCGTTCCTGGTATTTTTAAAAATTTATAGTAGATCAATTTTGTACGACATCTCGGCTGACTGATAAAGAACATGCATTTATCTATAAGTCCCGGGCTTATATCATGCATTTAGGGGTTTTAGGGGTGCTGCATTTAGGGAGGGTGCATTTAGGGAGGGTGCATTTAGGGAGGGTGCATTTAGGGAGGTCTGACTGTACTACAAGTCATTCTCGTTATAGTATAGTGAAGATAAATATATAAAATCCTTTCGATATAGTGAATTTAATAATAACCTTCCGATATAATGAACTTGTTAAAAATTTTTACTATAGAACGGATCACTTCACTATAACGAGAGTGACTTGTATATAAACCTTCTCTAACGCACGGTTCAATCTGGTTCCAACTAACAAAAAAAAATCCTAAATTTGGGTCAGGTGATCTTTTAACTATCGCTCCAGGTGGCGATGATTATTGCTAGTTAAGTAAAAGAATTTGAAATTTTTATAACGCTTTTGTGCGTACGTATGGATTAATACAACATAATGCTAATGCCTGCACCGGATATCAGGATTGGGATTTATAACTTTTCTGGCTTTTTAAATGATACAAAAATAGTTAATATCTTGAAAAGCTCAAGTCCAAGACCAGAAAGGTTTAGAGGTAATTAACGCTGCAGTTTGTTAATCAAAAGTATAAATAGGCTTCAGTAGGGTTTGTATATCGATATCAAATTAGGCCAAATTGAATTTTGATTTAAATACTCGTAACGGTAAGAGTGATACGTACGCAATTTGATTGGTTAATATGATTTTTATTATACAAATTTTTCAAAAATAAAGGGTGTTATGTTAAACAGAGAATTTAATTGTCTGGCCTTAGAGTTCTTGGCACGATAAAAAATTTGCATGCATGCCAAATTCTACATAATCTAAAGAATATTCAAAATCATATCTCTATATATATACGTATATATATATATTATATCTATGTTGTTATATATTATAATTAACGGCATTCAAGAACACTCATGCATTTGCCGTGCCAACTACTCTATTGTATCACCAATGAAACCGATAACTGATTATAATTTGAAAATTATTTCAAATTCTAAAAACAAATTTATTGTCTAAATTGTATCTCTGTAATTAAATGCAACTACAATTAATACCTTTTTTTTAAAAAAAAAATATGTAATTAAACGTCTGTAGGAATAGTAGTAGGATTCACAGTAGAATCAATAGTAAAGTCATCTATTTCATTAGCTTTTTCATCATCGCACCCGCACTTGTATTTATCAGCGATTAGGCTACAATCGAATATTTCTTTCTCTAAACGTACATTGACAATATTATGAATAGCGCAAGCCCATTGAGATGCGGTTTCTCTAGAGGAAACTTGAGGTGGATATTTTTCCAAAAGTGTTTGAAATTCCGTTGCACTAAAAAGTAAATATATAATATAAATATGAATCCCCATAAAATATTTTTTATTATGCTCACCATTCACCGCAAGGATATAGTCTACTGAACAAATAAATGAAATTGCGCAACGCTTCTTTTTCGCTTGTGGACGGATTCTCCGGGAATCGTGCCATCATAGTATGAAGTAACTGAAATAAATAATTATTAATATCCTATCGCTATATATAAAAAATTAAGTCAAAAACGATTTATAAAATAAAGCCCAATCGAGCCATAAATAGTGACGTAAATAAGTTTATATCGATACTCTTGAATAGCGAAAAGCCGTTATACCTTCCAAGTTCCACGTCCAAGCTCAGCTCTATCACAAGTTTGGTTTTGATTACGTTAATTTTAATGAAATCTAAAGAATTAATCTCAAAATTTTGCAACATACTTTATGGTGTCGTTTTTTAACTCTGGCATAACAACCGGCCCATGAATTACTTCGAAAGAAACTTCAGGTATTTCAGGTATTTCAGATACCGAGTCATTTATCTGTTCATTAAAGTCGGGTAGCAGCCGTTCATTAAGAATAACATCAGTATAATTTAGATAAAGAAGTGTAGGTAAAATAATTAGAGAGATCAAGATGAAAAAAATGGCAAGTGGGCGCATATTTTATGTGTTGTTATGAATAAAGCATATAGCAAGGACAAAAAAGCGAACGAAAGAAGAGCAAACGAGTCAGTAGTCGATACTGCCTTAAAGTAGTTTAAATAAAAGCATCGACACAATAATCAGGCTTATGTTTTCAACATGAGAAACAAGTACTGTGCGATTTTTTTATCATAAAAGTAGTTTAAATATGCAGATTTGCAGATTTTTATAAATTTAACTATAGATAAAAACTGTATCTGTTATGTGGCCACATAAATAAAACCTGTCCAATCAATCATTAACAGCGTCAGTTTAAAATGTCTGTTCTATGTTTTATTTGCGTTATTTATTTAAAGGTTTCAATTTCTGAAAAGTTTCAATTTTTCAAAAAGTTAGGATAATATTTCTTTTTTTTTAAGAAAAAGTTTGATTATAAACATTTACATGGAAAATAAAACAAAGCAGCAAGCGCTGTCTATACTGCAATCACAAAATGTTTTCTTGTTCGTGCCAAATGTTATAGGTAAGCACAATCGAGTTTGAATTTGCGATCTTTAATTTTGTTTATATTCCAGGAAAGTTGCAATATTTTTCTTAGCTTTACTAACTATCTAGATCGGATTTCATAAACTTCATAAATCAGGCTATACCCGAGTCATTCTTGCCATACTTTCCCTGTATTACATGCCATTCTCGCCTTGGACGTGTATGGGGTTATACACAGTTTCATGTTTGCTAGATGCTGTGGACGGTAACGCTGCCAGATATTTTAATCAATGTATGTGTTTCCGTAATAGATTGAGTTTTAAGTCTAAACATTAGATCATAGTTATTTTTTTCATTATGTGTAGGTAGTAAATTTGGTGCAGTTCTAGACATGGTCACAGATAGGTACGCACATGTTATTTCTGTTGCTTATTTGTATTAATTGATGAATTTCTAACTAGTTCTAGCATCTTATATAGATCTACTACAACTTGTTTGTTATGTTATCTCTCCTCAATTTACCCATCATGGACAATCGTATTTCAATTATTAATATCTTTGGATCTCAGTAGTCATTATATGCATATGTATAGGTGAGTTAATAGCATACTTGAATAATATCATATAAGAAAAAGATGCTTATACATATACATTCAAGCTCCTTAACAGCTGGTGCTTCTAGTCATAAGAAAATATCAAAATCATCGAATCGTATGCTGAGGGCCTACTATTCAGATAATGTTAGTTTTTCTTTTAATGTTTAGTGAAATTACGTGTCGAATTTACCAATAATCAAATATCTCGGATCTCGGGAATATATATTTAAATATATAGAAAATTCTTTTTGGCGTTTGTGCACTCAATGAATTGTTTTTTGTTGCATTATACCTTTTATCATTTGAAGAGGATCCTACTTGTGAGTTTTAATTCAATCAAGTTATTATTTTGACCTTTTATAACTAATAATTTAATAATTTTATGTTCGAAAAGTCCCAGAATGGAGCGTCTTTCCTCTTTATGTTCTTGCAATAGGCTCATTTCCTATTTGTGCCATCAAACAGGTGATTAACATAATTCAATTGGTGGGGGCAAGCCAGAATTTGGCAAAAGTTGATGTAGAAGATCGAAAAAAGGCATTTAAAAGCAATTGAGAAGGTAATCAAGTGACTTAAATGTATAATATAATACTTGTATAGTTATCACATCTATTTTTTTTTTTTATTTTTTTTTTTGAGAAAATGCAGGAAAGTTATTATTTATTTGTTATTATTATTATTGGGCTACCATCTACATGGAAGCTAGTATCTTGACTATGCATTAATTAAAATATTTAATTCCGAACCATTAAGCAAGATGATCGTTTATCTTAATATAATATGCTAATGTTGTCCTTTAAATATACAGAAACGATTAGTACAATCTATACTTGCCGAGTAGTGTACTTAATGGATTAACGAACATGTGATAATAACTTATTAAAAATAAACATTTAGACTTTTCAAGAATATTAAATATTCATTGTGACCAGAACCTACTTTATTACGTTTATACACATAAACACGTAATAACACGCCACCCAAGATTAACATAAAATCACTATGAAATAATTGAATTCATACAACGACTGGCCACATTAATACATAACATAAATTTATATCATTACATTCATCATCTAGTTACCTGATGGATCAAATCTGTCAGCTCTTTTTTTTTTTTGCCTTTTTTTTTTTTGTCTGCTAAATATGACTTTATTGCATAGTTTTTTTTTGATTGATTATATTACTATATATGCGTTAATATTACACTCGTCCAATAAGTTTATTCTTTAATGTAATTTTTCGTTGGACCTAATGGAATATTGGAGTTCTAGATTCTAGTCATCAAGCACAGATTATTAAGGACGACTAGTGATGCAGACGTATTTAACTCGAAATACGTTACGGCATGCGAAATACGTGTTGTAATGCCGTTTAATATATCGTATGCCGTATATCGTATTATGTATTTCGTTATATACATCGTGCAGAGATATATTGACAGCTTCTCGTAATTCGATTTCGGTAAGTTCTTTTCCATAATCATTTAATTCAGATTTTATGTTCGTCATATAATATGACCTAATCTTTGCCATAAGAGCTTCTTCTCTAAAACCTCCATTTTTAGTCCAAACCCTAAAATTAAAAAATTAAATAAAAAAAATTTATTAAATATAATAATGGATCTCTTGCAATATTGATGGCCCGCTTTGTAATCGATTAATAATACATATATTTTATTAAGTATACTACCTATCTTGCAAGAGATTTTAAAATAGCAAATATATAATATACTTGCCACGACAATATGAATGTACATATAGTATGATAAAAGATAAATATTGCTATATACTTGCTTAAACGGGTTTGTTGGCAATTCGATCGACCGTTGCCGCTTAATATTAAATGATTAAAACAATCGGCTAAGTTTGCCATGTTACTTTCTAATACATCGATGGTATTGCTACACCTTATAATCCGGTATAATTAATTTGCTTTAGCGATGGTTATATTAGACAGTTGATAACAAATACCGTGTTTTGCTCAAGTAAGTATAAGGTGTATTGCAGTTAAGATTTAAGAGGATTTAAGTAATTTGCAATTACGAAAGAGGCAAACGACTAAATAAATGTATATGAAGATACAAGTAGGCGTATGAATGTGTCTACCTTTACGGTAATCTCGTGATCAAGATCGTTAACTCGCTCAACGACTCAATTAGATTTTATCTCGTGTATGAAGACACGACTTAGTAGTTTATTTAATATAAATGAGTGTAAGATTAACTGTCGATTCCTAGAGAGAAATCGTTGAATCCAACTAATTATAGTTATCGATTATATTAGATTTATTCTATGGGATAGTTTATGTGTAATCTAATATAATTAATACGTACATATAATATTAATACATATAATAGATTCAATAATAATAATAATAGAACTACAGGATTAAAAATACGTAGTGATACCGTATTTCGCGGGCTCTCCCCTGTAAAATACTTAACGGTTTATAAGGAGATTTCTGTGGTGCATATTATATTTATTATGTGTAATCTTGCCTATTATTCGTTAATGTAGTAATTGTTCCTATAGCGCCATAGAAGGATCCACATAATCCGACGGGGGTGGTTTAGCCCGCGAAATACGGTACTTAAGTGCTGCAAAAGAAAAACCTGTAAATTTTATGGTTTTCCTTTTGCGGTACTTCCTGCAATTAATAAATTAAGGATCAAAGGTTTTTAATAGATTATACATACTTAAAGTTAAATTGTTACAATGATCAATTTCTTTATTGACCAGATTTGTAACTCGTGCTACCTCAGCATCTAAAGGCCTTCCCGAAAGTGTAGATCGTGATGGTGGGTCGTATTTTAATTTTTTAAATAAATCCTGTGTAAAGGATTTTCGATTACTTCGAATGGGATTCCGGCCATTTTCCATGCTTTCAATAATGATTGATCGATTTGACATTTTGATTCTGAAGGAAAACAGTCCACATTTTGTAAAATCATTTGCTTGAACACGAGATCCTCAATTAACTTTTGACGCCAGTAATGGCTAATATTTTCAGGGCATTTTATTTACACAGTAATTGCCTTCATAGTTTATCTCCCACGTTCCCAAATAGCCGAACAGTGAAAACAAGTTGCTTTATAATGACCGTTGCCCTACCTTTTATATAAAATAACAAAATTTCATCAAATTTGGAACAGAAAATATCATCCGAACTCATTTTGAGAGAAATACTTTATTATATTTATATATATTATAAAATAAACTACGGTATGTACATATGTAATAAATCAATTACGTATACACGTATCTACGTAGTTTATTTGTCATTATCGTTATCAATCGTTATTATCATTACTCGAATTACAATATACGACATTCTACAAGAATTATAGTCTAACATAATATTTAATATGACCAGAGTTACCACCTACGTCAATACTATCAAAAAATTGCAACTTCACTACAATCGGTCGTAATTCATTACCTCAATGCAACTACATCACTAAGGACGACCACTGCGACCACGGGGACCACCTCGAAAACCTCTGCCACGTCCACCTCGCGCTGTATTAACACAAAAATTGTTAAATAGAGCTTGTAATTACATTAACGTAAGAGTACTAAATACAGACCTTGAGCTCTTGCTACTGTAGCTTTTCCTCTTCCCATGCCTATTCCTCTTCCTTTCATAGCGTTAGGCCCAATTTTTTTGAACATTGGCGCATTCTTCAGCATATCAGGTACGATAAAAAATCGAACGTGTGAGCCTCTAATGTACACTTGATCCAACTGTGAGACTCGACCATCTCGTGCTGTTACCGTGATTTCTCGAAGTTGTACATTCATATTATCTTCAGCTAATTTTGATTAAATTCAACCTTTGCAAAAAAAATAAAATAAAATAAAACAAAGTAATAAAAGTTTTTTACCTTCAGATAATTTTCCTCTATAAACAGTTCCATTGTTTAATTCTAGAGTTACAATATGGCCTTGAGCTTCATGAAGTAATTTGATCGGTACGCCAATAGACATTTTGATTTGCGAGAAGGAACAGAGTATAAAACTGCTTCGAACATCATATCATTGTAATATCTACGTTTCTGTCACATGACTTAACCAGATTATCAAGGGACATTTTCTTACAGGGGTTCAAAATGTTATATTATTGGTCAAATAAAATTTTCTTACAGGGGTTCAAAATGTTATATTATTGGTCAAATAAAATAGTAACGTATCAAATCTTTTATTTTAAAAAACAAGAGTCAGTTTCATTTTGAGTATTCATGGATATTCAGAAATAATAAAAATTTTGAAGAATTACATTATATTTCATTAAAAATACAATGTGTAAATTGTCAAAAAAAAAACCGTGTATACTATATATATAGATAACGAAGAAACATCTAAATTAATAATTTGTTATATCGAAGTTAATTTAATTTTAGGAGCTAGAACTGGACATATGGGGTCTTTGCCTTGAAAATCAAGTCATGGGACATAGTAAATCATATGTCATAAATTTGATTTTCAAGGCAAAGACCCCATATGTATTTGTTATATAGATTATACTGTATGAGTACAAAATAACAATAAAGATCATAAATGTTTTTTATATGTATAGTGATCGGGTTATTATATGTATAAATGCCAGGACACTGGATGATCTGAACCAGAGAGCACTATTTAATCAATGCTATGAATGTGCGGAGAAAAGTTATGTTAGTGATATACTGTTGATGACGAAAGTGAAGTTGAATGGTTGACAACACAATATAATAATCGCTTTGTTCATTATCAATCTTAGATACGGAGAATACAACATAGATTCTATTAACTGTTAACAACGTGAACCGGCATGTTGTTAGTATTTAAGAAATAGTTGCTTCAGATTGATTGATGAGTATGGTATCGACGGTATAAATTTTTGCATTAATATTAAACTCAGCACCGTTCCTGAAATTATGGTTGATTCTCAATGTCAACTTAATTTTATTAGTGCCAGCTTCATCTCTGTATATTTCAACCTATTGTGTACAAGTATCACGAATGTTGTAAATCATGAGAGCGGTGAAAGTGCGAGACAAGAAATTGTTTGGCCAAGAGAGGAAATCGATATTTTCAATACTGAGTTTCTTAAAAAAAAAATACACATATACCGATACTACACACTTATACATTTATAAAAGGGAGTTAACAGTTTTTACTAATAAAAATCTTCAGCTCTCTAGTTTCAGGGGTACCAATTCAGCAATTGTGTTTATAGTAAGGTTGTAACGGAATTAACAATGGACTATAATACTTTCTAGAAGCTGTTTATTCTTCGATGCAATATTAAATGGTGACATCAGTACTGCAGTAGTGGCGAAATCTAACGCTAAAACTAATCCATTTTTAAATATACAGTATAACCGATTTAAATTCATTATTTTAATTCCTCAAATCGCCGAAAATCTGGTCACAGAAACTCACCGTTACATAAATTACGAAAATTACGGTAACGGTAATTTAACAAGTTACCTTAACAAATTGCTAGCATATAATTTTTTATATAACATATGACGAACCAACGGTCAAGGCTTGATTATACATGATAGATTCTGCAAAATAAAATATTATTATACACATTAGCAATTCTGTAACCTCAATAATAGAAAAAAAACGAACAATATCTAACGTATTTAGTTTCTATTTGAAGAATAAAATAAACATGACAAACCCACGGGATAGTAGAAAATTTAGTAAGATTCGATTGCAAAAATCTCATGAGATTGATTTCTAGAATCACAATTTTCAAACTGGGCAATCTTCACTACGAGTATGGAGAGCCTGGCACCAGCCGGATTCGAACTTGTAGCTAGTGCAATCTACGGGCCTGCGTTCTAACCGTTAACTTATATCAGAATGATCGTATAATTTTTAAAATGTATTCCTTCTAATCATATAAAATTCTACTTGAATAGTCGCATCTGATTAGATGAAATTATTCATTTTTTTTAAAGATATATATTTTGGTAACCATCTAAAATCAATAATTTTTTATTTTAATTATATAAGGATATAGAATCAGAATAAAAAATTTTCCTCAATTTTAGATAGATGGTTGTCAAGATATCTTTGCTCAAAGTTTAGAAAAATTTTATCGCAACTTGTTTTGATAGTTATTCTAGTTATTCTAAATTTTAAGCGAAAATATCTTGACAACTACCTATCTAAAATCGATAAAAATTTTGTTATTTTAATTATACAAGCATATAGAATCAGAATACAAAAATTTCATCGATTTTAAATAGGTGGTTGTTAAAATATCATCGCTCAAAGTTTAAATAAAACTTTGATGCAACTTTTTTTAATAATTATTCAAGTTTTTTCCAATCTTTAATAAAATTGATAAAAATTTTTTTATTGTAATTATATTGTAACATGGGGTGTTATCAATTAAAACAGCCCTTTTTTACTTTTTTTAAAAAATTGAGTTTTTTCGATTTTCTAATAGATAT